GACAAGTGTCCCTAGAAGAGACAGAGACATAAGGAAGAGAAGGTGACGTGAAGATGGAGGCAGAGATTGGAGTTTTGCAGCCACAGCCTGGAGAGGCCAGAAGAGGCAGGGAAGCATTTTCCACTTGGGCCTCCAGAAGGAATGTGGTCCCACCAACACCTTGACTTTGGATTTCTGACTTCCCCAGCTGTCAGAGAATAATGTTCTGTTGTTTTAGGCCATGACATTTGTGGTCATTTGTTACAACAGCCCTAGGAAACTAATACAGACTCTAAGGAAAACAAAACAGACTGATGGAGGTCAGATGCTAGGAGGTCTCTGGTTTCCAAAGGCATGTTCTTTGCAAGGAAGAGGTGACCAGGAGCCGCACCCAGGGTCCCCCTCACAGGGACCACGCAGAGGGTGCTTGCTCTTCCTTTGTTACCAGCTACAGTTTTGGCCAGGAATAAATGCCTATTTTTGTTGCCTGCTGACATCTCTTCTCACTTCCTCTGATTAATAAAAAGGTCTCTTTCCTGTTTGAGATCCACATGGTATTCAGGTGGGGCTAACTCCCTCCTTCTGTCCCCCCAACTCTCATTCACACAAATACACACAAAGCCACAGCCTCACCAATCAGAGAAACCATCATGCAGACACAGTTATTGGTCCAGGAATGGACATGTGACTCAAGCCAGACCAATCAGAGCCTTCTCTGGGAATTTTCTTCTGGAACTCTGAGAAAAGGCTCCCTCTCTTCACCAGGGAGCTCTGCTGGGGAGATATGATCATGGTGGGACTGTGGTTCCCTGACACCATCTTTTAGTAAATGATTCAGTAGTTTTCCTTCTCTTTTTTGTCTAAATTAGTTCTCAGTCTCTCTTGCTTGTAAATGAAAGGGCTCTAATTTGAGGCCCTGTCCCGGTGACCTAAGCCAGATCACATGGAGTCCCCAGGATTCTTTTTGTTTAGCAGGAACAGAAGTCTAGAGGCAGACCCCCCATCCCACCCCAGGAGAGGGGGTCCCATCTTCCTTCCTTCTTAGCCTGCTAAAGGTAGAGAGCAGGTTTTCTTACCATCACAGTCATGAGGGAGAAGACAGAAGCAACCCAGAAGGAAAAGAGTCAAAAGAATTAAAGATAAGAGAATTTCAAAGAGACACAGAGCTCTCAAACAAACAGCTTTTAACGTCTTTGTTTATCCCTTTGAAAATTCAACTCCCTAATACAGTGCCCCAGTTTTTACTCAGCTTTAATCTCTATTAGCGTTTCACTCTGTATCAATCTCAGTGATTTGGTGCAACAACAGAGCTGATTCTGGCTGATTCAAGCTGAGGATGAATTTAGCAGAAGGCTGGAGAGCCGGGCCCAGAAAATGCACAAGAACAAAAGGAGTATGAGCTGGTAGAATCATGATCAAAATCAGGCCCTGGGACAAATGTAGACTAGGGATTTCACGGCCAAAGACAGACATCACTTCTCCCCAGGATCAGCGCAATGCTGCCTGCCTCCCACCACCTTAAAGAAGTCTCCCTGCTTCCCATCCCTGCAGAGTAGCATCAAAACCCCAGGGAGACTATGTCCTGATTGGCTGAGTCTATGTCTCATGCCCACCAGGGGAGGTGGGGATGGGACGTGTTTCAGGTGGGCTCTATCTTCCACTGAGACATCTAGTGGGAAATTTACTGAACATAAATTAATTTTAAAATACCTCCTTTGTCCTCGTTCACAATGAAGCAGAGAAGAAAAAAATATTTGAAGATTACCCCACAGTGATTCGATTGTGTCGCAACGGTACCCTCTAGTGACAGACTAATGACAGGGTGAAAAACAAGGGAAATATTTACATACCTCATTAAAACGTCCTGCTAAAATTCAGTCACACTTAGTTTCGTGACTTAGACCATTGAGCAAAGCAAGAGAAAATTTCAAGATGCAAATGCTCTCCCATGAGAGGGATACAAAAAGGACCGCGACTTACAATGGATGTTAACTTGAATCAATCACGGTCTGTGCCTGTGGGAATTCAAACACCTTTGCGATGAGGGCAATGGCATCATTTCTGCTGTGATCCTCCATGGTGGAATGTGTCTTGAAGATAAAACCTGCTCCGTTGAAGTAAGGCTCACCGGCCAAGGCACCGGGAACCTGGACAAGCTCCTGGAGAGGGAGGAAGGACGCACGGTACCTGACATACACATCGCTGGGCTCCGGCACACGGGACATGCTTGTGGAGTGGATGGAGGAGGCCAAACCTTGAGGGTGAGTTTCAGAGAGAGCACAACAGCACAGACAATGAAGGAAATATGCAGTGATACTCATATACTAAAGAGGGCGGACGAGATGAGGAGGGCGCTGCTGCAAGCTGTGGTAGGTCTGTGGTCAACAGGTGATCAAGGAAAATTACACACCTGAGAAATGGAAGAAGCACCCAAAAAATGAGGGGCTGTCCGGAGCAGACCTGGCACTTAGGACACAGACAAGAATGGAATGGCTCATCTCTGTTACGAACTGAATGTTTGTGTCTCCTCAAGTTCACATGTTGAAGCCCTAACTAATCCCCGGTGTGGTGGTACTTGGAGGTGCAGGCTTTGGGAGGTGATTTGGTCCTGAGGGTGGAGCCCTTGTGAATGGAATTAGTGCCCTTATGAGAGACACAACACAGCTTTCTCTGTCTCTCTCTCTCAGCCATGTGAGGACACAGCAAGAAAGTGGCCTTCTACAAGACAGATAGAGAGCTCGCACCAGAACCCGACCATATTAGCACCTTGATCTTGGACTTCCCAGCCCCCAGACTGTGAGGAAATAAATGTGTGTTGTTTAAGCCGCCCAGCCTGTGGCATCTTACAATGGCAGCCCTAGGTGACTAAGACAATCGCTTACCTCTGGCATCTAGAAAATGGAAACCTCATCTGTGTTTCCGCCCCCTTGCTGTGCATCCAGTGAACAAAACATCTGTAAAAGTACCTACTCTGGTCCTGGCAATGGGCTAAGGTCTGGGTGCCAGGCCTGCTTCAATAACGGTGTTATCTGGTCAGGTCCCCTGTGCAGGCATTTCAACCTGACACCAAAATGACAAGAAGGCGCTGACCAGGGCAGGTCTGGGGCAGACAGAACAAGTGGGACATGGAAACCAGGGCAAGGTGGCAGTCATTCAGACACACAGTATGGAGATGGTGTGGGCAGGTGCCGAGGCTGAGATGTCCGCTTCTTGTATGCTCCTTCAAGGGGCAGGATGGTAGGGTGGTTAGGAATACAGACTTCAGCCAGACAGCCTGGATTCTAGGCCCATCCACGCCACTTACTCACTGTGCAGCTCTGAGTTAGGCTCAGGACCTCTCTGTGCCTCGGTTTTCTCATCTGTAAAGTGGGGGCAATCTTAGCAGCCACCTCACAGGATTGAGGTCAAGATGGCAATACTTAGGAGAACACCTCACATGTAAGAGGTGCTGCACAGTTCAGCCATCATCCTCCATTTGGATTTAGTACTATTGTCCCTCTTTAGAATTACTAACCTTAAAAGAAATACCTAAGAAATATCTGTGGTCCCCTTGGAGTTTGTGAAAACAATACATTTCTTCTCATGCTAACCAGAGACCTTCTGGTATCGTGATAGCCCAGATAGGTTCCCTGGAATAACTAGACTTTTTTAAGTGACGTATTTGAAAATAAAGTTTAACAGGATCAGGTCTTAACAAATAAATCCTACTCGTGTGCTCTCTGAGGCCGTAAGCACCTTTTGTTTTGCTAGCACATGTTACAGCCAATTTTTTAAATTGCTAATTGTGAGAAATGCCCCAGCACCATCTCAGACCTCAGAGGAAGGTTTAGTAGGCGTGAAAAGAGAGAGCGTGCGGGGAGAGACAAACATATTTCTAAGTGATGTGGGTTTAGTAGTCCCACAGCAGAATCCTGAGGATAAACTGGAAACTGGGGAGAATTTCCTCTGAGAAGGATCTCTTCCTCATTCTCTCAGAGCTTAGCCAAGGGACCTGTTTAGAAGTTGCAAATATGTGTCAGCCCCTTGAGGAATCCTGGAAGATGCTGCAAAGACAACGTGTTTTAAGACAGAGTGGAGAGTAAAGAGACTATCAACTTCACACACACACACACACACACACACACACACACACACACACACACACAGAGGAGGGAGAGAAGGGAAAAGAAAGGAAAGGGAAAAAAAACAATGGAGAGGGAAAACGAAGGAATGAAGAAAAAGGGAGAAAAATGCAAACGTGGGGGTCTAGGGAAGATACAAGATTATTTCAGGAATTTCTGAGTAAATTTTATAACATGGAGATAAAATTTAGGAGGTTCTAATCAACAGAAAATGGGGCATTCTCTTCTCTTGAGCTTCCCTTCCCCTTTCTCCATATTCCTCTGGAAAGGAAGAAAGGAGTTTCCCCTCCCCACACGGCCGCCATTGTGCTTGGTGACTTCAGTGTCTCTGAGCAGATTGTGGAGGAGAGGTGGAAGGACCAGGACCCCTGGACAAAGTCCATCAGAGCAGAGAGAGGATGGGGGTGCCACTGAGGAGCCTGGTCCACGTCCCTTCCAGAGTCAAGGTGTGTGACCCTCAAATCCCCTGCTTTATTCCCACTAATGGAAAAATGTGGTCACAAGTTTGCAAATGTTACCATATCTATTAATGTTTAGCAATGTCCAAATAAGGTTTGCATTGCAAAAAGTGTGAAATACTATTAATAGGGTTAAAAATAACCAAACAACTGCAATGCACCTGGTTTTGCATACACATATAAGGAAAAATAAAATAAGCTGATCATTAGGAGTCCCTCAGATTTATAAAGTGATACGTTTTACATTTTAGGGAATACAGTAGAATTATAGTTAAGAGTCTGACTAATTTGATGAATTGGATTAAATTCGTGTATAGTTAACCCCTTTCATACAATCTCTTTTGAATCTACTTGATTCTTTCTATCCATAATTTTCCTCTTAGATAGATGAACATAAATGGCACACCTAGTAAAAATCTTAGAAAGATTTATTTTATTTGTAATCATTAGATCGCTGTATTTTTTATTGTATCAATGATTTTGTCAAAACTTGTTTCAAAAAAATTCTGTGTTGCCATGACATTTTTAAAATGTGGGTCTGAAGGGCCATGTAGTAATACCATTTTGTATATTTATAATGCTTAGCAATATCCAAATGCTTTCATATGCATAATCTTGATTCTTTCAACAATCTTTTATTACAGGAGATAAGGCAACAGAGGATCAAAGAGGCTGACAGTTCAAAGTCACATAAATAGTAAATTTTAAAGCCTGAAACCAAAATCTGGGCTTCTTCTACCTTACCCAGAGGCAGTTGCATCCTATCATGTTGTAAACGGAATTCCAATGTTGAGTAAAAGGCTAGAGTAGGTGATATTTTAAGAGTGTATTATTTTATAAGTCAATTTTGCAAGGTATTCATTCACATTTCTCAATATTCTTCATGATTTCCATGTACTTATATTCTTACCCATGTATTATGTTAAAGAAATTTAGATAACTTCATAAAAGGTGGGGAAAAAAATGTCAGAATGTACAAGGCAGCTCAATAATTCAACTTAAAAAAGACTTTCATTTTTTTAAAAATGTTGTTATAGAAAACCATACCAAAACTAAGTTCTTCATTTCACTTTCTAAGATCTACCTTTAATCTGAGGGAGAGAAAGAAAATGAGAATGAGAATATGTTGATGGCGTAAAGACCAAAAACAACAACAAAAAATCAATTTGGAAGTCTCGTAATTGTCCATTTGCAACTCTGATCCATTTCTATTGTAAGCTGAGCAAAGCACCCCAAATTCAGTGTAGTCTCAGTGCCATAAGATTTGCCCTTCTCCCCATTTGGGGGTTACTAAGTAACCAGGTCTCCAGAGGGTCCAGCTAAATCAGCATTTGTAGTCTTGCGTAACATCTGTCCTAGAGAAGGAAGTTCATAGAGTCAAGTAACCTTGTCAACTAACTGAAACACGCAGACCTCAGACTTTCTTAAACGTGTGTAGAGACCCAACCAGAAAAATGGTCAATTGAGAATTTGTCCGTTACAATTATAATTGCAACACGGAGGATGCCCAGTCTCCTGCAGGTTGTGAGTGCTGATGACATCCAGCAAGTGTGGGACTCAACTGTGGGTTCCTACAAGGATAAGTCTGGACTTCAACACATCCTTCAGGGTTGATAGAATGGACTTACCATACTGGTAAAGCCATAAACACTTTAGATTTGATGGGCACAGAACATATACGGGTACCATATATCACTGTCTTATTCAAACTTGTGCTCAACAAATATTTGTTGAATGAATGAATGTATCGATGAATGAATGGATGAGTATTGCAAAAAAAATTGAGGAATTTGAACACGGCCAGAAGACCCTGAGTCTTGCTCCAGTGACCCAGCCAGTCCAGTTTTCCTGCCATGTTCAGTGAAGATCTCGCATCATCTAATCATGTCACGTTCCTCTCTGATGGATGACATGAACCACAGGGCCCAGGGGAGTAGTGCAGAAGCAAGTGAGAAATGGAGGAGCAGAAAAACCCTAGAGCCTAGCTTTCCTTTTTAACCTGAATTTTTGGCTTCCAATGTTTCTGCTTATTAAACAGGAAAAAAAAATTATTTCTAATTTTCAAAACACTTTGCATATTAACTCATTCCAGATGCAAACAACTTTAAAGGCAAAATCACTAGGGGGTATGTAGTGAACAGGCCTAGTTACCAAAGGAGGTCACATAAAAAATAAAAACCACTAAAGAATAACCAGTCCATGCTGTCCAGGGGCATGAGCTATGCAACCCTAGTAAAAAGTAAAACCAAATTACATACACTAATCAACATTGACTGCATAGCACATCCAACTCATTTGCATACAATGCAGTTATCCTGGTAGGTGCTGAACTCAACACGCCCAGCTGGGTTAGTGTGTCTCCAAGGACACGAGGTGGGGAACTTTTCCCCTGTGTGTTGGCTGTGTTCCCTTATGACCATGACGACAAGTGAATAACCACTATAACACTGTCAGACTTTGAACATTTGAAAGAAAAGCAATACAGATCTGTGCTGGCTAAAATGTGTTTCATTTCTAGAACACTGTGTCTGATCTTGTGTTTGAGAAAACCACGTTGGTTTTATGCTATATAAAGAATTCTTCTTTTTCTTCATCCTGAACTGGAAGATGAAGGGGACATTTTGAAATGATCTTCCGTGCACTGATTTCCCTTTGGCCAGCTAGCGACAAAGGATGGACCCTTTCCTTCAAGCTCCTGCTGTTTTTGGAGGCAGTTGTCCCTAAGGAGGAGGATGGAGAGCAGGATAGTGGCTGGCTGGTCTGCAGACCCCTTGGAAATCCGCTCAGAAAAGATTGCCTGGGTTCAGAGTTTACCACAGTGCACCCTGTGTCAACATTTGTCTCTGCCTCCAGCTTCTCAAAGCTGTTTTCCTGGCTGAGGCCCTTCGTTCTGGCCCCAGGTTTGAGGAGGGGAGAAGGCAGAGGAAGCTGGGCACCCGAGGCTGGGCTGCTGGCCTGCGATGAGCAGCCAGGGCTTTTCCACGAGGTGCCATGGGAACCGTCGGACGCTGGGCTCCCACTGGGCTCAGGGAATTCCAGAGAACCCACCTTGACCCTCCGGCCCCTGCTCCTTCGCTTCCTCAGCTCTAGGGTCCGCCTTGTGGAGACTGGGATCAGCCTGGCGCCCTGGGGGAGCGCGTCAGCTCCCGAGGTGCCATTCAGAAAGGAAAGCTCGCCATTCCTAACGCCGAGTCCTGGATTCAATTGGACCTACGGGACAAGGAAAAGAGGAACAAGCGTTAACAGACGTTTTCCAGGAGCTAAGCGCCAAGAGCAGGTTATGTCCCATTCACCCTCTGCCATGCTGTGCCCATAGCCGGCTTTCAGTCATGTCTGAATGGAATACAAGCAATAGTGGTCTTTCAAAGGGCTGAGCGGCCATCTTTGCCTCCTGGAGGATTCTCTGACATTGTAATCTACCTTTTTGTTTGATCCCATGAAGTCTTTTCTTCTGGAAATGAAAACTGGCATGGTTATTTCCAAATTCAGAAATCATTTAGGGTTGATATTTGACTTCCCAACCTGGCAGAGGAAATCCATAACTTCTTTGTTTTGTTTTGTTTTTAACTTATTTGGGTAAATACCAACAAGAGCACTTGCTGGATCTTATGGTTAGAATTAGGTTTACTTTTGCATGAAAGTGACAAGATGGCTTCTACAGTGGCTGCACTCTTCTGCACTCCCGCCAGCAATGAATGAGAGTTCCTGCAGCTCCACGTCCTCACCAGTATTGGGTGCTGATGGTTTATTCTTAGGGTTCATTTTCTGATTGATTACATTTAAATGTAATATAAAACATTAAAAAAAACATTAACTTCTAAGACCTACTTTTCAACAGCAAAGCAATAAATGTGTCCAGGATATTTGAAGAGAAATTACTCAGTACTCTCGCTATGTTTTCATTTTCCAGAAGTGAAAATGGAGAAATCCGTAAGTTTGATTCTTGAGGCTTTTATTTAATTTTCTAACAACCATTAACAGAAAGAGAAGCCTTTCTGTTAGGGGGTAAGTTCCCCTCACCCCCTAAGTCAATCTCAGATCAAAACAAAATGGGTCCTGGAGCCACAATCAGCCAAGACATCTCAGGGCAGCCAGGAAGTGCCTGTCCGAGCCACAGCCTGAGTCAGTGGGCCCTGCTGAGCCAGCCCAGGGCCTCCCTCCACTCAACTCTGCTCACCCTGTCCCACAGCCCCTCCGCTGGGCCTTGTCCCCTTACAATGCTCCACCTCTGGAAGATTTGATTTAAGCCTAGCACTCTCAGCTCCAGCATTCAATTCTCTCATCAGATCTTCTGTTCAACATCAACAAACATGTCCTTCCCTACTTTCTCTCAGCCCCCTTCTATCTTCCCTGACTTCCATAGTCAATTTGAGTTTGAAAACCATTATTTCAACCATGTCTTTATACTCCAGTACCTCCATCTCACCTGCCCTGCTCCCTTGGTCATAGCCTTCCTCAGTACCCCAACCCTGGATCCACGCACCTGCTCCCATTTTCTGAACTTGTGCCCAGGCTGATGAAGAAAAGCACACGACTGTTGAGATTGGCACCACCCTGAGGTGTGGTCTCCAACTTTGCCCAGCCATCTGCCAGCCCTCATGTTTCCTTAGTGGCCTCTCTCCATTCACCACAAGGTTGTTTCAAACCTTCTAAAGTATCCTCAAACTTCAGGAGC